ACGGTAGAAAAATTTATTCCTTGCAAGTAAGATAGAATTCAGACAACGGAAAGGTGAGGAGACGGAAGGAATGAAATCCCTTCTTAGGAATATTTTGTTTGCATAAATTGTACAGACTGAAACTTTTTTTTTACTTTTAGTAGAGCAAATTAGTGGTAAAATAAAGAACTGTGAGTTATTTGAATTAAATATTTAAATAATCTAAAATAAACAGAAAATTAAGACCATTACAGACAACAAAAACTTGCTCTTAAATGTTTCCAATCAGGACTTAAAATGCTCAGCAAAACAGGTACACAGCAAATGTTTCTGAATAAACTGTTAATATCTGTTAAAGCCTTTTTTCATCAAAAACAGATTTCAAGGTCTTACCCCTGGCTTCTTTCCCAAACACTCCACTTACCTAACTGCCACTTCTCAGAACTTATCCGAGGTGATCTCTATAGAGCATCTGACGCCATTGAAAAAGGCTTTATAGCACAGCAAAGAGTGAGTCCTTCAAACCAGACTGCCTGAATTTGAATCCTAACTCTACCACCAGCTGACATCTTGGTTTAAGTTACTTAAGCTCAGGTCTTAATGTCATTATCTGTAAAACAGAGACCATGGTAATACTAATTCAGAGTTCTTAAAAGAATATAAAACACACCTAGAACAATGCCTGGTACATATTAAGAACTTAAGAAAACATAAGGTACGAAGAGCTCAATATTAGAACTTGAATAAATATGAGACTTGTCAAGGTGCTGGGAATACCAGCGTGAATAAAGATCCTTGCCTTCATGGAGCTTATATTTGGGGGACATAGCAGACAATAAAGGAAGATAAATAAGTAAAATACAGTGAAAAGTGCTAGGAAAAAAAGGCTGGAAAGGGTGGTTACTGAGAGTGCCATTTAGTAAAATGTAAAGGAGTTGGTGGAATAAAACAGCACTACATGGGGAAGAGCATTCCAGAGGAAACAGCAAGTACCAATGTCCTGAGGCAACATCCTGCTTGGTTTGTGTGAGGAATAGCAAGGAGCACAGTGTGGCTGAAGCAGAGGAAAAGTGAGGAGTTGTAGAAGGTGCTGTCAGAGAAGCAAAAGGAGGAGTAGAGAAGTCACGTAGGACCTTGCAGGCTCTGGCTTGTCCTCTGAGAGATCACGCTAAAGGAGGGCTTTAGGCATAGGAATGACATGATCTGACTTACATTCTAACTCTGGTTTCTGTGTTAAGACAAGACCAAAAAAAACCAAACAAACAAACAAACCAAAAACAGCAAAGGAGAAGGGGATCTAATAGAAGAAATAAGGAGACCATGTAGCAGACTACTGCCATAATGCAGGTGAGAAATGATGGTGACTTGACCCAGGGAGGTGGTTCCTGATGTACCCTGAAAAGGGGATTGACAAGATTTGCTATTAGTTTGAATATAAAGTGGAAGTGGGGTGGGGAAGCAAAACAGAATAGTCAAGAATGACTCCAAAGTTTTTGGTCTGGTGACTTGGAAGAAGACTAGAAGAGATTGGAAGAGGTGCAGTTTACTGAGATGGAGCAGCAGTTTGGGAGTTGGAAGATCAGGAGCTTATTTCAGACACAGACATTCAAATGGAGCTGTTGAGTAGGTAGGGGTTATGAGAGCAGTCTAGACTTGAGATACAACTTTGTACCTTAATGCCGTGAGACTAGAAAATAATGGTGGATAGAAAGAGGACCGTGTGTGGAAGCACTCCTGTGTTCGGAGGTAGGAAAGATGAGAAGAAACCAGGGCAGAGAAAATGATGAAGGAAGAGCCAAAGAGGCAACAGGAAAGCCAGGAGAAACACTTGAAAGCCTCTCAAGAAGCAATGGTGGTTAAGTGCTGCTGATGGGTTAACATCACCAGTCCTATTGCTTCTGCCTCCAAAATACATCCCCAGTGTTTCCCAGTTATTCCATCTAATTTCATCATCCACGTTTCTCCTGGCTGTCATCAGAAAACCATTCACCATACAGTGATCTTTTAAAAACGTAAATCTTATGTCAACATCCTATTTATTCTTTGTCATCCACTATCTAGAATAAAATCTAAATTCCTTAGTTTGACCCACAAAGCCCTTTGTGATCTGACTCCTGCCTACCATCCTGACTTCATTCCTCCAATGTTACTGTTTATATTCATTTCTATCTACACAGGTATTTGTTTTGCTCTTAAACCGTATCGGTCCCAAGTACTGCCCTGGCACCCAATCTCCAATACTCTGTACACATTCTTTACTTTCCCAACAATTAGGTCTTAGAGCTCAAACAGCTCCTTAGAGAGGCCTTGCCTAATTGATTTATCAAGATCTAAAATTACCTCATTTATCTGTTTAATTGCATATTGTCCATCTCCTCTCAGATAGTAATTACTCAAGGACAGCTATTATTGAATATATACTACAGCATTTAAAACTTTGCATATAGTCAGCTTTAAAACTTATCTGACAAAATGCTAGTTATTTAAAACAAAAGGAATATTATCAGGACATTGGTTTCACTTTTTATGTAATGCAGGCATCATTTCTACAACATCTCTGACTTGGTCACATTCAAGAAAATCTTGAACATCTCTGGTGATGGCAAGGTTTTTATCTCATAAAGCAGTTCATTTCATCTTCAGACAGCTCTCCTTGTGTGAGAAGTCTTCTTTATACTAAAACAAACCTCTCTCCACATAATTTCCACCCACTGCCCTTTGGAGTTACGCCACGTTAAGTCTAATTCTTCTTATGTACACAGAACTACACATTTTAGAAAACAGTTTTAGATATTCCCTACAACTTCTCTTTTCCAGAACAAATACTTCCATTTCTTTTGACAATTCTCCATACATTATGGTCTTCCAGTCTTATCCTTTCCATAACAGTTTGGAAATTTCCAATTTATGAATTTTCATCTCAAAATATACTCAGAACTTAACAAAGATCCTCTCCAATTTGCTTTAACTAGCATAGAGTTAGTGGAACAAATATCTTTCTTAGTCAATCTAGACAACACACTATTATTCATGAAAGCATAATAAGTATGAAAGTATAATAACTATTCTGATAGTTCTGATAGAAAACTCAAAACTAACTAAAAGCTCCAGTGGTTTTCGTAAGCACTGCTATGAACTCAAAGGCCTTCCATTTTATAGATGTAAAGGTGTCTAAACAACTAGGTGCAATATTTCACATCTATGTAGTTAAACATATTTTTATTTCATGTTATTTCATAGTGTTCTATGCTGTTGTAATCTTTGAATCCCAACTCTGTACTTCAACATACTAAAGATCTACCCAAATTCCGTGCCATCAACATCTCTGATAAGTATGCTTTCTATGACATCCAAATCACTGATAAAAATATTTGCATAAACACATCAACAGTGAGTCCCACAGCATAACAGCCTAACATTAGAGACTCTACTCTCTAGTTGATACTGAGATTACATGTGATTCAGTGAGTTACTTGTAACTCCCTAACAGCTTCTTCTTGTCCACAAAAATATCATGGAAGGCATTATAAATGCCTTTTTCTAAAGTCAAGATGAGCTGTGAAGGTAAAGTA